GTTGAACCAAAATGCTCTAACTAGTTTATTTAAAACGGCATCTTCCAATATATCTAAAATTGACCCTTGCTGAACACCATAGTTGCTCTTAGGGATGAACTAATGCACTGTTTTCACTTCCACTACTGATACGGATATCTAGATTTTGTATCAGCAGATATCGATCCGATACAGAGAAATGCTGCTGAATTAACTGAAGATGTTTCATTTTTTAAAACGCAGACATAAATGTACTAAATTACACATTTATTTTATAACTCTGCACATGTATGACACATTTAAACACCAACAGTTTCACAAGCTTGGTCAGACATGCTGCAAAAACAACTTCAATTTGTTCAGTCAGTACAACAAAAATAACATCCAATGTAAAATAAATGATAAAGAAACTGAAAATGAATAATAATAATAATAATAATAATAATAGGTTGACTATGATGGTCATACGTATAAATAAACTGCCTTCTTTCAAATGGTTCATTGGTGGATTATTTAATAATAAGACATTGTGTCCCATGTTAAAAGTGAAGTAATCTTCCAGAACTCGGTTGCTAGGTTACAGGCTTGGCTTGGCTGGGGTTGCTAGGTAACGGTGCAGCGATATAAGTGAAATCTAGCACTTTTTTTTATCAATACTAAGGAATTATTTACTTCAGACAAGCTCTAATATCTTCCTTAAAAGTTGCATGTAAGTTAGTTTTGTGTTATTTCTAAGATATTTGCACTAGAACCTAAACCAAAAATACTTGGTAATATTTTGTGTTTTTGCAGTGTTGTCTGTATGCTTGTTTTTTCATGTCTTTCTTTCTCCTGTTAGCCTCTGTAAAGCACTTTTTTTTATCACACCTGGCTTTTTAAAACGTGCTTTGTGAATAAAGTCTGATTGATAAAATGAATGCTTGTGCTACCTGAACGCTCCTTCGTAGCTGTAGTACATTTCTTGCTCGCTCATTTCACATTTATGCTGTCCGTTTCCGTCTCCTTTGCACAGCTGACATAAAGACTCCGGGTCACCAGCCTCGTTAGCTCCAGGGATGCAGCTGGCGCTGAAGAAATTCGCCACACCTGATGAGAAACATAAACAAAAACAAACACTTAACTTGGCCTCACTGCAAAAGCACAAAACCTCACCAAGTTTTTTTCTCTAGTTTCTGAGGCAAATATCTTGGTACGATTGAAATAAAACAAGTACAAGTAACTTTTCAGTAAAACATATGAGCTGGTTTTAAGTCAGTAATTCCTTAGTATTGCTGAAACTTACTAGTTCAGTGGCAAACCTTTTCACTAATAACTGGCTAATAACTAACAAATTTTCCTGGATGATAAATTATCCCAGAACTCATTGCAATATTGTCCATTTGAGACCATTTTCAACTACTAATGGCATATTAATGGAAGTACACTCCTTCAAAAAAAATTAATTTCTAATTAACATTTAACATTGGAATTGGAAAACATTTTTAATATCCAAAATAAGTAAACAAAACAACTGAAACAATAATAATTAAAATGGATTATGAAACTTTTGTAGCCAAAATTGGTTTTCAAAAATATTAATCATTCATCTCTGACAGGGAAAACGGGCAAAAGTAGCAGGCAGTGTCAAAGTTTTGCAGCAGTTTTCAAAATGGCTGCTTTTCAACAATTGTAAAGGGGAATATCACTTTGACATTGTTCTCCAAATGGAAATTCATCGCAATAAATCATGTGATGAATTGATTTGGTGCTTATTGTGACAGGTTTACTTATAACCTGACATTTTTCTTATGCTGTAAATGAAACAATCTGCAAGTGGGACTAGTCTTTCATCAATATTAAGAAAATATTTATTTAAAACAAGTTCTTATGTGTTGCTGTAAAGCTACATGTAGCTAGCTTTGTCTTATTTCAAACTTAGTAAGATATTTTCACCATAAACTATATCAGAGATTTTGTATTTTGCAGTGTATCCATGATGTATTTGCTATGAAAAAAACAAATAAATATAAGAAAAGAGCAAAACAAATAAACAAAGCAAAATAAGACGTCAGTGAAATTTACCTACATAAAAACAAGAATCTCTGGTATTTTTTGTAGAACAAAACTACAATGCATCATTGACTCAATATTTTTATTTATTTATTTATTTTTATTTATTTATTTTTATTTAAGTCAATATTAGAAATCCCATTTTCCTCTCAAATGAGCAGAAATTCTGGTACATAATTTGTTTAACATGTCTGCATATAAAAATCGAGCAACTAAAAGCAGTAATGAATGTTTTAAATAGCAGTTGTTTCACAACATTTTCAGTTCATGCGCTTTTTATCCATTGTACATCCAAAATAATTGTATTTCTGTGCATCTTTACCCTTTGGAATGTCGCAGCCCATCACAGACATGAAGCCCTGGTCGATCAGGTATCCCAGCGGCATGGTCCAGCCAGCAGTTCGGCCTTTCCCGGTGTGGCAGCTCTTTTTCCCCTTCAGGTTGTTGATGTTGATTGCGGAGTTAGATTTCTTCACCACAGCAACGGCGTAGTAGGAGCTGGTATCTGGCGAAACAACAGCGGAACAACTGAAGCGAGCAGCGAGGTTGACATTTTGGAAATAAACTCGCTAAATGGAAACAGCTCGATAAAACTCGTTTTTCAATAACAAAAGTTGTGATGCTAGGATGCTCCACGAGACACGTGATCCAGAACCGGATGTTTCCACTGGTGAAACCCACGAAGAAGAAAATAGCAGGAAGTACTTGGAGGCCGTTGGCGGCATGTTTTTACTGACTTACTTCTTATTTTCAAGTGGTTTTAATTGCGTTTCCTATTTAATGCAAACAACGAAATTGCGGAATTGTGTTGTTGCTTTTTACGTTAACGGAATAAAAGCTGCGTTTCCATTGAATATATAACTGCGCAATTTAATATCTCGAAAATAAAATTACATAGTGGAAACAGCAATTCTGCTAGGATGGGGTGGTTTTTCGACCGCATAGAAATGTGATTATTTTCACACAAGACACATGATGAACAACCGGATGTTGCCACTGGTGAAACCCACGAAGAAGACAAGAAGTAGTTGTAAGACATGTTTTTAATGACTTATCGCTGAATAAACTTAGTGTGAGTTCAATTACGTTTTTTCTATTTAATGGAAAAACCACAATTGCAGAATTATTTTTTGTTTGTTTTTACGTTAAGTTTTGTGTGCATGTTATTTGTGACCTCTACATGAACTTACCTTTAGTTCTGCTGTCTTATCATCAGAGCCCCAACAGTGGTCAAAGTACAGTAAGTACTGTAAGGTTTCAAAATGTACCACATGCAATACAGAGATTACCATCCAGATATAACAGGTGTTGTAACTAACAATGTAGCTACATCAGCATTTTGCAACTCACCCAGATAATACTCCAGATATTAAGTTATCTCAGCATATATAATGTGTTACCTTTTTCTGATAAAAAGGAACAATGTAAATTTCTGATACGTAAAGCAATCAGTCATTATAATGATATAAGTAAAAAAAAAAATAGCTTGAATGTTGTAACTTCTCAATAATATTTTAAGGATTTACATCCATAGAATTTGATGAACCAGAACAACCATAACATTTGATGAATTTGATGAACCAGAACAACCATAACATTTGATGAATTTGATGAACCAGAACAACAATAACAATTTGCATATTCTGTTTTTAGGCAGGACAGGAAGAGAAACACTGAAAAACAAACTTTGCATCTCACCATATCACTGTATAGACTACGTCACATGATTGTGACGTAGTCTATACAGTTGAATGAAGAAGCTGAGTCTTACCACCATTCTTTGATTCACTGGCAGCCATCTTGAAGGTGGCAGTCTTCATCGCATTGTAGATCTCAGAGCCAGACATGGACAATGCATCCACTTCTTTTTTCTGCAGTGAGACATAACAGCATATATAGGAATGTTCTGAGTCTAAGTGCAAAAAAGAAGAGATGAATGTAGAATTGGGCAATTAATAAATAATACAATAAGTGACAGTATTTGTTGTTGCTTCTGCAATTTCTGGTACTTATTAATTAAGCTATAGACAATCTAAAATGTCACATCCCTCAGAAAAAGAACATTGTTTAGCATCAACAGTATGTTTTGTGAATAAACAGTTACAGTTTATTCCAGCTTTTCTTGAACCACTACCTGATATTAATCCTGATTTTTTAATCTAACGGATTATTTCACTGCAAAACAACCAAGTAATTTTGCCTTAATTTCTAGTGCAAATGTCTTTGTACCTTGAAATAATACTAAACTAACTTACAAGTAACTCTTCAGCAAGACATATGCGCTTGTTTTAAGGAAAAAAAATTCCTTAATATTTATTTAAAATGTATAAGTTTTTCTGGTAGATTATTTTTACCTTGTTATCAGTAAAATAATCGGCCTGTGGAACTGGTACTTTTTTATTAATATTAAGTCAAAAATTCCTTAATATTGATGAAAAAGTTCTAGTTGGCAGATTATTTCAGTTATTTTAAAGCTCCGTTTCCTAGCAACCCCAGCCAAACTCAGCCCGTTACCTAGCAACCCAGTTCTATTTCCAGTGGAAGGTTCTTTCACTTATAAGAAGACATTTTCCCATGTTAAGAATCAGTAAAACTAGTAATTTTTCATCAATATGAAGGAATTATTGACTTGAAACAAGCTCCTACGTGTTGCTGAAAACTTACCTGTAAGTTAGTTTTATCTTATTTCAAGTGAACTAAGGTATTTGCACTGGAAACTAGACCAGAATTGTTTGGCTTTTGCCGTGTTTTGTGTCATAAATAGTAAATTATTGTTTTGCAGCAGCCAAAATCCCACCTGTAGTTTCTGAATGCAGTCCTGGACGGCTGGGCTTTTGGTGCAGCTGATGGAGGGCCGGATGGAGACTTTGGAGAAAGCCTGGCTCATATCCTGGCATTTCTTCTGCTCCGGCTCTGAGACGGTGCACCATCTGATGGTCTGCTGGCAAAACACTGATAGGGATATTACTTATTACTGTGTAACTGAGCAGGTTAGGAAAGAACTTGGAAACGTTGTTGCAGAGGCTGTTTGGCTTCTTTTCAATGCTGATTTTTTATGTTATTAACTCTGAATATGGAAAAAAAAAATCTGCATTTCTGCAGATGAAAAAGCTCAGGAATATCCTGCTCTGTATATGTTACACTGCAAAAACATAAAATCTTACAGAGCATTTTGTCTAGTTTCTAGTGCAAATATCTTAGTGAACTTTAAATAAGACAAACATAACTTAAAATTAACTTTTTAACAATGTGTAGGAATTATTGTTTTCAATAATTCCTTCATACTGATGAACTAGTTCCACTGGAAATTTTTTATTTCACTTATAGCAGGGAATATTTATTGTTGTAAGTGAGATACCAGTGGAGTTAGTACATTTTTATTAATATTAAGGAATTATTTACTTAAAACAAGCTGCTATATCTTGCTGAAAAGTTACTTGTGAGTTATTTTTGTCTTTAAGTTCACTAAGAGTTTTGCATTAGAAACCAGATACTTTGTAATATTTGGTGTTTTTTGCAGTGATGTTGGCCAAGTTATCAATCCTGTAAAAATATTAAACTTCAAGTATTCTGGTCTCTAGTGCAAATATCTTAGTAAACTTTAAATTAGACAAAACTGACACAGAATTAACTTTTCAGCAAGATATAGGAGCTTGTTTTCAATAATTCCTATAACTCCTTTATATTGATGAGTTACTTTAACACAGGAATGTTTTTTGTCATTAGAGAAATACCAGTGGAGATAATACATTTTTATTAATATTAATTATTTACTTAAAACAAGCTCATATACTTCGCTGAGAAGTTACTTGTAATTAATCTTGTGATCTATAATATTTGCATTAGAAACCAGATAGTCGGTAATATTTGGTGTTTTTGCAGCGCAGCGTGTTCAGTCCATGTTTTAACAGCTCTTACCTGCAGGCAGCAGCAGCAGCAGCAGAGCTCCTACTATCTTCCACGTTGTCATGGTTTTTGCTTTGCTTCCTCTCTGGGTTTCACTGAACCGCCTTTCTGCGCTTCTCCACTTTATATGTTCGCTCCAGAATCAAAGTCCGTTTTTTATCTCCGGTGTTCGACTTAAAGTCCTCCAGTGAAACCGGATCAGCGCTGTGATTTCGCTGATTTACAACCCGATCTCCAGCCACAGAAACAGCAGTTCCAGGACTGTTTACAGCTCCGTTTAGAAGCGCAGCAAACGGCTTCACGTTTTCTGCACATCGCAGCGCGGCGGCCTGGCTGCAGGCCAGCGGCCGGACAGAGAGGCTCTGTTACCGCCCGGCCCGCTTCCCCTACCTGCCTCTTCTGGTGGTGTTTTTCCATTAAGGATGTGGCAAAGGAGGGATTTAATCCAGCACAGTGATGATGTTGGTGCCCGACTCGACGGAAAACAGTTTACCTGCTAACATGTCCGGGACGTTTGACTCCGTTTTCTGTACAAAACGCTTTTATCCTTTCACTTTATGTGACTTTCAGAAATAATCTACACACATTGTTGCCTCTGTTAAGAAAAAAAAACGAGTAGGAAGAGGTAAAATACACAAATCTTTCATGTAGCAAAATAAAACAGAAGAGTATCAGCGCTACTGTGAGGAAAAGGAAAATACGACTTTTGATCTCAGATTAAAATCTGAATTCTGAGATTACAGTCGGGCTGTTTTGATTTTCTGTGGCCCCAATGCTCTCCTGTAAAATGTTGCTTTAAAAAAGTCAGAATTTAACTTGAGAAGAGAAAAATTATATAAGACATGTTAACCCTATCCATAAACCTGAGTGAAGTTGGCCCCCCCTCCTTCTTCAAATCAGACAAAATTGGTGTCAAACGTTTGTGCTACGTTTGTGCAGCAAAAATTTTCGTTTGTGCCGCTATCATTTTAAAGATATAAAGAAATGTTTCCAGAGGTCATCCAAGGTCAACCAACCCCCCCGACCTTAGGATCAGACTCAGAAACCCGCTATAGAAGGATTTGGCCACATGGTTTTGGTAGACCTGATATTATTGTTGTTATCTTGTAGTGAAAACCAGATTTTTATCTAAAATAAAATTCCCAGGTATTAAAAAATACATAAGGAATCCATTACACTGAATGTTTCTCAATTATAGACAAGGATAAGAGAAATAGCTTTTTGCCTCACAGAAATAATGTTATATTCTCAGGAGGAAACAATTAACAATAATGGAGCTGAGAAATCATTAGAAATTACACAAACGCTTAGATCACGTGTTTAAAAGCCTGCTGAGCATAAAAACAGTTTGTCCAGACTTCCACATTTTTCCTGGGGAACAGGGAGTCATAGCTGCAACTTTGTTAAAAAAATAATAAAAGAAACATTTTGGCTCCAAAAATCTTCAGAATAGCATTAAGTTATATAAAAAAAAAACGAGTTTAAAGGTCAGTTTACAGCAGCAGTTCTGGTCTTGTAAGGCAAACATTACAGCTCAAGTTGAGGTGTAAAATGTCAGCTGATGTGCTCCAAAAATAAAACCCTCCTAACTGTCTTCACATGAGCATCCCTTGTTCTTCTGCTGCAATAAAAGAGTTAAATTAGTCACACTGAGCTCTTCGGTCACGTACAGCAGCAAGAGGGCAATATAATAATAAACAAGCTGCTTTTTCTTCACATCCTGAAGTTTAATAAAACATCACGTTTGAGTCCCATCTGCATTTTTCTGATATCAGCTGACAGCCGGACATTTCACCCTCATTACCGGATAGTTGGACATTTGAACGCAGGAACTCAGCGACCTGAAGGCGTGATAATAAGAACCTTGGACATGCCATAAAGTCAAAGGCCGAAAGTCTCACTGTGGTTGCTGACTGCAGACAGGCGTCGAGCTACACAAAGAAACTTACAGCTGACAACTTGAACATCTGTTTAAAGGGGACGTATGACGCAAAATTCACGTTTTGCTTGTTTTAGTACTTCCGTTTTGGTTTCTACTGCTCCTAAAAACGAACCAAGTGATTAAAAGAAAAACACCCAGAAGTTTTTTGGCAACAAGTTAATGTTTCTGGTAAATGATCCATTTCAAAAACCTTCTGAATATAATGTCACAAATCAACAGCACATATTTCATGGCCCCTGCGTCGTTACTTAGCAACCCAAGCCGAGCTCCAGCACGTTTGATCAGCCGTACAATGGCTGCTGGAAAAGACAAGCGTTTCATTAACTTACCATCCAGAAACCACTTTCTACATTCTTGTTGGTTGTGCAGGAGGCTCCACTTCTGCTTTTCAAATATGAACAGTTGAATAATTCCCTATCTATTTGCAGCCAATTTTACGTGAAGAGTGTAAACTTTAAAGTGACAGGAGGCCCCAAAACAAACCACTCTAAAAGGAGCTTAAAATACTCAAAATCTCTTTAAGAATTTTATACAAAAAAAAAAAAAAAAAACATATTTTGTGTTTTGGTATCCTAACCTGTTCAGGGAGGCATCTTTAAAATAATGTTCTTTATTATACAAGTGACCTGTACCGTCATTTACATAATTTGCCATTTATGACAATAAGATGCCTTTTGTAACTAGTTTAGTGTTAAAGATGAATCTTTTGTTTTCCAGCCACATAGAAAAGTAACAATGTCGACTTCAATGGTTGTAGAAATGCTACATATATAGCAGGTATGACTAAAAAAATGATTTACTTTGTAGTTTAAGTCCTTGAAATTGGGCCTCTGTCTCTTTAAGAAACTTTTGCTGTTTCTGAAACTCAGAAACTTCAGGAAGTCGCTCCTTCATTAACCCTTTAGCAACATTTTCAGCAGCGTTTCACTGAGAATCAATGTTTTCTATGCTCTTGTTGAATCGACATCACAGAGAATTAATTTAAAATATCATAAAGTGGCCGATAAGCGCAGCTTTTTAAACATATTTACCTGCAGGTTTTACTGACTGGAATATGTGTCAAAAGTAATCAGACACCTAAAAACCCCCAACCTAAAATCAAGCAAATAGTGTAGCTAAATTTACTTTATTTCAGAAAAGTTGTAAATTTCCAACAAAAAAACCCATAAATTGAAATTAATCTCAGAAATTTTCTGGATTTTTTTTTTTTTTTTTTTTTGGAATTTTCTGACTTTTGAAAATTGTCAACATTTGAAAAGTTTTTTGTAGACAATTTCAGAGATTAGTGGACATTTACTACTTTTAAATTTTTTTTATAAATCTACATTGGCTGCAACGCGCCATAGTAGATTTGGGACATTTTCTGTTTTAAAAAAAAACCATCTAGTTTTCAGTTTCTCTTCGGCTTGATGGAACAAATTAATTTTCAGTAAGAGGAACAAGATTCGGTCACTTTGTTTAAAAACATTTGTTATATTTAGTCAAGGCTGGTAAATTAAATAAAATCTGGTTTTGGTGCATCATTTCCATAAAAATCTCTGAATAAACATCGTTTTACCTTTTCTTAAAGCTACATTATAAAAAGACAAACACTAGATTGTAAGAAAACTATAAATTAAAAGTTTCCATCTGCATCTATCGGCTAAATTTGTATCATTTTTTAATTGCATTTTTGAAATTATTCACAAATGGCCGCTGAGCCGCACTTTGGATGAAAAAACTGCAAATTTTCAACTGAATCACCACCAAAAGTTTATCATTCAAAATATCACTATATTACTATAAATGCACAGTAGATGTGATAAGAACATTTTTATGCATTTGACAGAGAAAAAGAAAAGTCGTCTCTTGTCACAGTTAAAGGGACTGCAGTAAAGCTCAATAAAGCCTTTTATTTATTTTTGTACCAAAATAGGCAGTTAGAGCAGGGATAAATATTATATTATGTTAGATATAGATACATCTCTTTAATCGATTCTTTGCATCGGTGCTTTACTCTAACAAACAGTGGCATAGTCCCCCGGCTGAAACACGCAGCCAGAGCCGTACGGAGGTTCCCGTTCTCTCAGCCGACGGTCACAAATAATCTACTGGGATTAACAAGGAAACATAAATCCAGAAGAACAGAGGAGACGTTAAAGCTCTCAAAATGTGGTGAAAGTTGGTAGTTTTTCTGCGTTATCAGGGCGCCGCCGCTGAAAGAAGGGCCTCTCTGTACGCCTCCGTCCTCCAGTCAGCTTGGAGGAGTCGCCTTGAGGGATTAACGCGGATTAAGGGGAGACGGTGGCTGACGAGGTCCATACAAGCAAGGGCTGCGCCATCAAAAGCATCTTGAATTTCTGTCCTCAAGCAGTAGCTGATCGTCAGGTTATTTTTATCGTCCTGTCACGATGCGGCTGAAGGTTCGGTTTCCGTGACGACAGGGAGGAAACGGTGAAATTAAAGCTGCAGCTGGTTTTTATAGAGGAGGGAAATGAAGCAGGTGGTGCTGAGGTCACACAGCCAGAGTCAAAATAAAAAATGAAAATCCAAACTAAATAAAAAAACATACAGTGGATTTATGACAAAGTATTAGGACCAGACCAAGAAAAAATAAAATTATAAGAAAAAAATTGTAGTAATATGAGAATAAAGTCATATCAAAACTTCATTCTCATCTTGACTTTAATACGACTTTATAGTTATTAATACAACTTATTATTCATAAAATTACGAGAATAAAGTCGTACAAGAGTAAACTTAAATAAGGTAATATTCATAATATTACAACTTTATTATATTTTGTAACTTTATTCTCGTATTATTTTTACTTTAATAGAACAACTTTATTGATACGACTTAATAATACTTTATTCTCATTATAAAACTGCAATAATAAAGTTGCAATAATACCAAAATACAGTTGTACAAGAATAAAATAAAAATAATGTGAAAAAATTGTTTTTATTATGACTTTATCCTATTATTATTTTGACTTTATTCTCGTTTCAACTTTAAGAGTATGACTTTATTAATGCAACTTAATATAACTTATTTTCATAATAAAACTACAAGAATAAAGTCATAATATTATAATTACCTCATAATACTGCAACTTTATTTTCATATTACTTAAACTTTATTCTTTTAATTTTATTATTTTTTATTTTCTTAGCTTTGCCCCAACACTCTGTCAAACGTTTTTTATGACAAACTTTGATGTTTATGCAACGTCTGATATCTTTGTTTACTAAAAATGTGTAAAAATAAAAACCTTCACCAAAATCTCCTTCATAACTTTAACAGAAAGACGCGTCACACAAGATGCTTTAGGAAATCAGCCCTCGTTAGTGCAACTACATTTAGAGGGAAGGAGTCACGATGATGATGATGAAGAAGAAGGAGGCGTTTCACTGCTTAAGGTCAAAGTGCACGGAGCGTGTAGGAGACAGAAGTCTGAGGTAAAGCCAGAAAAAGGAGAAATCCTGGAATTACTGGAGAGAATCGCTTTTACTGCTTTTTAAAAATAATAAAATCTCTTCTGATTTAAAATGTTAAGGTTTCCTCTTGAGCTGCTAAAAAGTCAGATTGATCCGATTTTATTATGTTTCAGTCAAATTTCCTTCCAACTCTGCATATTTACTGACCAAGTATGG